GATGAAGTAGTGCTTGCAATATGGAATAGTGGATCTGAAAAAAGGAATAATAATTTCAAATGATTTAATAGTAAAAGTAAGCAATTATTTGGTCAAATGTAAAATAAAAAGTAATTATATAATGATGTGAATTTTAAACTTTTTTTATAGCAAACACCTTTTGAACTTTGATTATATATTTAGGTATACTTTAACCTGGCCAGGTAATAAATAATAAATCATAATTTATATTTCATTCGAATTCAAAAAAATGAAAAAGAACGTACATTTATAGAAAAGTAGGTACGTATAATAAGTGGTGAAACGTAGCACCTCTATCGAACGTGTCGCTCCTGGTGGCAGAATAACCTTGCGACTTTTGTCGGGCCATATTTTGTATACGAAGTTTGGTCTCCTTATCTCTAATCTTCATGGTACATGCCATGGACTAAAGGCGGGTTCACACTACACCGTGTCGTGTAATATAATCACGGTTACCACAGTTACCAAACGATACCGCATAGTTGAATATATTCAACTTTTGACCGTGTGGTTACATTTATGTGCAGCTAAAGCCGGGTTCATACTTAATGTAACCACACGGTCAAAAATTGAATATATTCAACTATGCGGTATCGTTTGGTAACTGAGGTAACCGTGATTATATTACACGGCACGGCGTAGTGTGAACCTGCCTTAAGATATACAGGACTGGACACGACAAGGTTGGAGGGTGTGGGGGGGTTGACTACGAAATGTTTTACAACAGGCAGTGTTCGGGGGATATTTTCCTTTTAGCATTACTAGCGCCGTCCTAGTGGATACTTATGGAACTAGAACACATCATACAAATTTCTAGTTCCATAAGTATCCACTAAGACGGCGCTAGTAATGCTAAAAGGAAAATATCCCCCCGAACTCCGCCTGTTGTAAAACATTTCGTAACCACAATATTCATCTCGTGTCCAGTCCTGTATATCTTAGTCCGTGGTACATGCTTTGGTATTATCATTTATCACTAATCAGTAGTTATCACTTATCATGCAAGTCGTGATTTCGTGAATTATTTTCGTTTTTTGTTTTCGTAAGTAATATCCGACATCCGTGAACATTAGAGAACTTCAAATCAAATGTCCGATGGTAATGGCATTGAGACGTAAATACATGCAAATTCCATTGATTGTCTATATTGGAATCAAAAACCATAACATTTTCAAAATATTTAGATTCATGTCGAGGTATTCGTTATATGCATACGAAATATTCGTTTTTTCTTAATTTTCTAAAAAATTTTCTCTCGGTCCAATTACTTGAGAATGTAATACGCCTACAACGTTCCTCGCAAGTCGTTGGTGGAAATTAAAAGAAAAAGTCTACCGTAAATTCACAATAGTTTTTCATGAGCGTCTGAAGTTAGAATTTTGTCAAAATTCGTAAAAATCACGAAAATTTGAAAACTATTTTTTCATACAATCGTGTATTTTTATTCGAAAATTGAATATGTATATACGATTCCAGTGGTTCGACTCTTGACCCAAATAAAAATCTTCAGGGAAAAAATTAAGTTAAAGAGTTGAAATTAATTAGTTTTAAGTCCATAGACATGAAAAACAAAATGTTTTAATTGTTTTCTATGGCTACAGTTATACTTATCACTTATATTATGAATTATTTTTTTCGTACTTAGTAATAATTTCTTATTTACTATGTACAAATAACTGCTGCAGGTATAACAATAATTTACAACACACTACTATATTAGTCATATATTTCTAAATTCTAAAATACATATTATAAACTATCAACACGACGAATACGAAAAGTATGATGGTATAGTTTATAATGGTTTTCAATAGGTACCTACTTTTCTCTTTAACTATAAAATTTAAAAATAAAGTTTTCTTAAATTAGTCATTGACAAAATGATTTAATTCACAAACATAAGTCCACAGTGTGTAGGTATAGTTTTCTTTTGGTTAAATAGAGTAACTAAAATTACTTTCTGAGGGGGGGGGGAAGTAGGTAAAATAAGTACACAAATTAAACGAAATAGGTACCTATCAGAATATACCTAATTTAAAAGTGTTCATCACTTATGTCCATTGTTGATGGTTGAAGAATTTTAATAACAGCCACTGAAGCTTTTTGGTAATTGCATACCTACTCTTTTTTCAAAGAAGTTTGTCTTTCCTCGTTGCAAATGGGAACGGGCTTTTCGACCTGAAAACCATTAATTTACATATTTTTTATATTTTTCAATTGCTTTTGTAACAATATATCAGCAGCCTTATATTACATTTTTACACTTTTTGGCCCAACAGATAAAACTTTATTGAAGTTTATAGAAAAAAAAAAACTAAAAAAATTGAAAAGTGAAAATTTCCGTAAGCTCAAAAAGAGTCAAAATATTTCCAAAATTGTACAGTGTATAGGAAATGCAAATATGAACGTTCAGTGAAACTTTCATGTATCTACAGTTATTCGTTTTTGAATTACAACAAAATTAGGAAATAGCTACATGAGAAATCGAGTGTAAATAATTTGAATTTCAAACGCTCATAAAAATTTAATTTGATGTTCTTATAGGCAATTTTTTTTTGACAAAGGTTGATAATCTTTTTAGGAATCTTGTATTACATTTTCACATCTTAGATTTAAAAAGAAAAATTTTTATGAATTCTTAACTCAAAATAATTTGCTAATTTTCGTGATTTTTCCATATTTTGTCAATTTTGGAAAATTTTGGAAAAAAAAAAAATGTGACCAAGGATTTTTAATATTTTTTATCTGCCTTTGAAACAATATACTAGGAGCCTTCTATTAAATTTTCAAGCTTTCGAAACCAACGAATAAAATTTTATTGATATTTTTAGAATAAAAACTAAAAAAAAAATGGAAAATAAAAATGTCCCTAAACAGTTCAAAACAAATCATAATATTTTAAAAATTTTATCGTGTATAGAAAATGCAAATAAAAACAACCAGTGAAAACTTCATGTATATACGTTCATTTAGTCATATAAGTCTAACTTATACCATAAACCAAAATCGATTATTTGGAAAACAGACTTTGCGTAAAAATTCCCGTTATTCCTTAATTTTTATGTGTTTATAATCCCGGCGCTTGACGCTTGTGAAAACTATTGGGAATTTTAAAATTTGACCTCCCGAATGCACCAACTAGATTCACTTTCCAATCGAACAAGATACTGAAGTTGAAAATCGAAGCATTATTTCGACTACTTATAGTGTACACAGACACAAAAATAAATTTTAAAAAAACACACATCATTGTAAAATCAATACATTCAATGTTCCACTCAGAATCTAATATCAGAAATTAAATAAATTATTTAATATATTTAATCTAATATAATCTGTTTATATTTGCTGCACCGTAGCATATTTTAAGGAGTACTATTTAAGCTTTTCGTGTGACATATAAATTTTATTTATACTTATCTGTGTGGGAGTAGTAATTGAACATTAGTGTGCGTAATCCGTTATCGTTTCCGAGGATCGCTGCACGTCGATTCGGGCAACCGCGCCGGAAGCAACTCTCACACGCGCACACACATGTCAATAGATCGCGAAAAATGAAATACCTATATTCTTGTTTGCAAGACCATACAAAAACTACCTACTAAAAGCAATAGTAAATTAATCATACTTGCCGAAGTTTGATCGTAGTTTCCAAAAAATGGTTGAATTTATAAACTTCTAGACTATGCTTCTTAAACAATGGGTTTTTTTGGTGGTATATGTCGTGAGAACGACGAGTGCTTCACTGCTTCGTTGTATGACGTGTACGGTGTACCCGATCAGTCGGAAAATACGATATTAGTTATTACCAATGTTGTTAAAATACTTTTCAAAAGTATTTCAAATAGGTATTTAAATAATTCAATTAAAATGTATTTAAATATTTAAATACAAATACAAATATATTCAAAAAGTACTTCAAATATTTTTAAATACATTTTTTTAAGCTTTATTATTTTCTGATTCTTAAAACTAATTATTTGTTTAATTTAATAAAGTGTATTGAATATAGAAGATAATTGTAGGCTTATGCAGAATTCCTTTATTTATAAAAAATTGTGAATGTAGTTATGTTTAATTTATGAGATTTATAACATATACAGTTATCCTTACTAAATAGTAATTAGTAAATATCTTGTTAACATGTATTGTTAAAATGTATTTAAATACAGAAAAAGTATTTAAATATTTAACAAGTATGGTTATTACCATAGAGTAATTAGGTACCAATAACGCCTACGATTATGGCGGAATACGGTGACAAGTATAACGGGGCTCACGCGATCAAATAATTTGTCAAATATTTGATGTATGTCAAACTTCAAATATTTTAGAAATGGTTCTAAAATATTTGGAGTTTGACGAATGTCAAATATTTGACAAATTATTTGATCGTGTGAACGGGGCTTAATAGCCCTTTACGGCACTGCTAACCGTCGGCTGGTGCGTCCTTTCACTCCAGTCTTCACATTGCCTATACGGATCTCCTAAAAATCGGCGTAAGCAGAAAATATGACGCGTTGTTCAACGGCACAGAACCGAATTGGCTACACTGAATATTCTAGCTACGATTTCGTTTGAATTTCCGTTGAAATTTCGAATCTTATCACCGTTCATATTATTGTACTGGTGTTTACTGATAATCGACAATTCATTATTATTACTGATCAAAATATGTTCAACTCGTCTTTAATCTAAGGAATGTACCCGCTAAACCACGTCTTGTCATTGTCTTATTCCGTTGTCTAAGAATGTCGTAGAATAAGTCTCAAGTCGTAACTACTCATTGCGGCTAAGCCTTACTGCCCTTACTGCGGTCTGCGGCGATTGTTGTTAGGTATGATATTGTATACTTTCATAATATTTTATTATGCATTTGTTCGAAACAAACACCGAACAACACTGTAACACTCATTTTTGTTTACTACAGATCACGAGCAAATGAACACTATCGAGCGTCGTTAATTCGTCAGTTTGTAATGGAGATACCTAACACTAGTACGAGTAAGTATTTAAATTATTAATATTCATCAAAAATATATAGGTAGGTACCTACCTAGTTTGTTATTGACAATATCGGAAAGTCACTAACCTTCTTTTACATACTGTATAGTTAAGGTAATAGTGATTACGTTTTATATCAACAGTTTTTTGTTTAATTTTGCTTATTAATTATTCAATGTAAATAGTTCATATTCCAACCATAGGCAACACACTCTTAAGTCACTATTTAAAGTTTGGACCATTAAAAATCACTATAACAAAATTAGTTGTTTTTAACTACTTAACGAGTGTAGATATACAATATAACAATCAATATTCCTATAAAGTGTTAATGTGGAAAAATATGCTGCTAGGGATAAGAGTTTCAATTTTTTAATGTATGCACACGTCTGGACATTGTTCAACGTCACGACGTTGTCCTGTTTGACACAGCAGGGAAACCGTTCTTTTATTAATTTTATGCTATAGACAATTTAAACTATATTCATGTCGGCCCGCGCGGATCCAAAAGATTTTAACAAGGGGTGTTCAAACAAAAATAGGTGGGCTAGTGAGTGTTGCTCTTAGTGCCAGATCTAAGTCTCAGGATGCCGTGGTGCAACTACCAATTGGCGGCCCCTTAAAAAAAAATTTGCTCGACTTAACACTTATCTATTTATTTTATACGTGTTGTCGTGTTGATATATTAAACAAACTAAAAATCAAAAAATTTAAATACCATAATTTAATAGGAAAATTATGAAATTATACATTCACTTACTGTTCTCATACCTATTATACCACGCTTAGATATGATGTATTAATCATTAATGTATGCTTCTATTGTTATTGTTATTGTTTGTTTATTACGGAAAAAAAATTCTAATTACATTTTAAATATAAGATAGTATGAAGGGGGAAAGGAGAGAGAGAGAGAAAAAAAAATACATAAATAATATATAAATCAAAATTGTGTGTATAGTGGGTACTGTACATAATAAAATGTAATATAATTTGAGGAGAGGGAAATCTAAATAAAAAATAGATAAATAAAAAAAATATATATAAATATACATATAACTCAAAATAATTTGCACATTTTCGTGATTTTTACGTATTTTTTCAAAATTTGAACTTTAAATGCTTTTAAGAAAAAATTGTGACTATTTTTAATATTTTTCAACTGCCATTGTAACAATATATTTTAACATAGGAATTGCAAAATTAATTTTATAATATATATAATAGTAGTTTTTCTAGGGCCCTTGCAAGTATAAAACAGACATTTATCTTTGTCTGTGGTAGAAACTAAATATACCACTCATAATGTAACTGGATTAGACACAAATAAAAACTTTTATCAATTTTTATTTTTGATCAACGATGTATGCATATTAATAATGCATATAATTTTTAGGTTCAGCTAAGTCTGCAATAAGTTATGAAATGGATAGTTCCTCGGATAGTTCCAATGAAGAAATTGGTAAGTAATATTTGAAAACTGAGAATATAGGTAGGCAATAATAATTCTACCAAAACTTATATTAGGGCCTTTGATTTTGAAGTAATAACAATTTTTTTACCACTTAACTTGTATGGGGTTTTTCATCTATAATAATTACTATAATATGCTATTTTTACAATAGAATTTTTATAATAACTTTTTAATTTTGAACTTCTGTTTATTTGTAAATTTTACATAAATAATTAAAATATAAAGAAAGGTGGGCAAGTGGGTGTCGCTCTGCTGTACAGTAGGTTACAAGTGAGTCACTGTATAATTGATGATATTAAATTTGAATTCAACGATATAATATCATTGTATAAGAAAAACAATTCTGAGCGGAGACGGTATGTCAGTCTAGGTATAAGACATATTATATACATATCTATGGTACTAAACAAAAAATTAACATATAATAGGTACCTATAATAAATTCCAAATTAATCATATCACAATATCCATTAGGTACTTATAACGCATTATACATCAACAAAAACCGTGATACTATCATAGGTATATAATAGTCACAGCTCGCTACAATACTTCAGAAGTTTCAAGTACCCACGAATAATATTATACAATCACAACAAAATAACTAAAATAGTTATTCTAGGTTTTTTAATATGTAATTTTGTCCAAATATGAATTTAAAATGTCTGTAAAAAATAACTGTGCTCATGTATTTTTTAGATTTTTTGGCTACAATATAAACTATTTTTGAGAATCTTTTTTTAAATTTTCAATCCTTAGCTATAAAAACTGAACATTTTATAATTTATTAATTACGATGATTGATAATTTTCGAGATTTTGATAAATTTTGTCAAAATGCGATCTTTAAATGCTTATAAAAAAAATTGTACCTATGTATTTTTAATATTATTCAATTGCTATTGTAACAATATATCAGGAGCCTTGTATTAATTTTTTACACTTTTTGGCCCAACAGATAAAACTTTATTGATATTTATAGAAAAAAAAAAAAAAAAAAATTGAAAACTGAAAATGTCCGTAAACGGCTCAAAAAGAGTCAAAATATTTTCAAAATTGTATGGTGTATAGGAAATTCTAATATAAACATTCAGTGAAATGATCATGTATCTACAGTAATTCGTTTTTGAATTACAACAAAATAAGGAAATCGCCACATGAGAAATCGAGTGAATATCCAATGTTGTAAAAATTTGAATTTCAAACGCTCATAAAAATTTAATTTGACTTTTATATGGAATTTTTTTTTTTTGATAAATGTAGGAAATCTTATAAGGAATCTTGTATTACATTTTCATATCTTAGATTTAAAAAGAAAAATTTTTATGAATTCTTAACTCGAAATAATTTGCAAATTTTCGTGATTTTTCCATATTTTGTCATTTTTTGAACTTTAAATGCTTAAAAAAAAAAAACTGTGACTAACGATTTTTAATATTTTTCATCTGTCTTTGAAACAATATAGTAGGAGCCTTGTATTAATGTTTCAAGTATTTTTACTCAACAAATAAATTTTATTGATATTCATAAAAAAAAAAAGGTGGGTAAGTGGATGTCGCTCTGCTGTACTGTAGGTTACAAGTGGGTCACTGTATAATGGATGGTATTAAATTTGAATTCAATGATACAATATCATTGTATAAGAAAAACGATTCTGAGCGAAGACGGTATGTCAGTCTAGGTTTAAGACAAATTATATACATATCTATGGTATTAAAAAAAAAATTGACCTATAATAAATTCCAAATTAATCATATCACATTATCACAATATCCATTAGGTACTTATAACACGTTATACATCAAGATCAATTACAAACCCTGATACTATCATTGATATATAATAGTACACTTTAGAAGTTTCAAGTAGGTATACCCACGAATAATATTATATAATCACAACAAAATAACTAGGTTTTTTAATATGTAATTTCGTCCAAATTTGAACATAAAATGACTATAAAAATAAACTGTGATTGTATATTTTTTAGATTTTTCGGTAAGAGAATTAACTACTTACGTAGAATCTTGTTTTAAATTTTCAATCCTTAGCTATAAAAACTGAACATTTTAGAATTTATTAATTACGATGATTAATAATTTTCGAGATTTTGAAAAATTCTGTCAAAATTCGATCTTTAAATGCTTATAAAAAAAAACTGTGCCTATGTATTTTTAATATTTTTCAACTGCTATTGTAACAATATATCAGGAGCCTTGTATTAAATTTTTACACTTTTTGGCCCAACAGATAAAACTTTATTGATAATTGTAGAAAAAAAAACTAAAAAAAATTGAAAGCTGTAAATGTCCATAAACAGCTCAAAAAGAGTCAAAATATTTTCAAAATTGTATGGTGTATAGAAAATGCTAATTTAAACATTCAGTGAAATTTTCATGTATCTACAGTTGTTCGTTTTTGAATTGCAACAAAATAAGGAAATCGCTACATGAGTAATCGAGTGAAAATCCAATGTTGTAAAAATTTGAATTTCAAACGCTCATAAAAATTTAATTTGACTGTCCGGTAGAGATTTTTTTATTGATAAAGGTAGATAATCTTATAAGGAATCTTGTGTTTCATTTTCAAATCTTAGATTTAAAAAGAAAAATTTTTACGAATTCTTAACTCAAAATAATTTGCTAATTTTCGTGATTTTTCCATATTTTGTCAATTTTTGAACTTTAAATGCTTATAAAAAAAAATTGTGACTAAGGATTTTTAATATTTTTCATCTGCCTTTGAAACAACATATTAGGAGCCTTCTATTAAATTTTCAAGCTTTCGCAACCAACAAATACAATTTTATTGATATTTTTAGAAAAAAAACTAAAAAAAAATGGAAAATGAAAATGTCCCTAAACAGTTCAAAATAAATCAAAATATTTTGAAAATTTTATCGTGTATAGAAAATGCAAATATAAACAACCAGTGAAAATTTCATGTATCTACGGTCATTTGTTTTAAAGTTACACCAAAACCAAATTCGATTTTGTCAAAAACTGATTTTGCGTAAAAATTCCCGTTTTTCCTTAATTTTTATGTTGTTTTTTCCCGGCGCTTGTGAAAACTATTGGGAATTTTAAATTTTGACCTCCCCAATGCACCAACGATATTCACTTTCCAATCGAACAAGATACTGAAGTCGAAAATCGAAGCATTATTTCGACTACTTATCGTGTACACAGACACAAAAAAAAAAAATAAAAAAATAAAAAAAAAAAAAAAAAAAAAAACACACATCATTGTAAAATCAATACATTCATCGTTTCACTCAGAATCTAAAAACTAATAAAATTGGAAACTGAAAATGTCCCTAAACAGTTCAAAATAAATCAAAATATTTTGAAAATTATTTCATGTATCTACGGTCATTTGTTTTAAAGTTACCCCAAAAACCAAAATCGATTTTCTCGAAAACAGATTTTGCGTAAAAATTCCCGTTTTTCCTTAATTTTTATTTTATTTTTCCCGGCGCTTTTGAAAACTACTGCGAAATTTAAATTTGGACCTCCCCAATGCACCAACGATATTCACTTTCCAATCGAACAAGATACTGAAGTTGAACATCGAAGCATTATTTCGACTACTTATCGTGTACAGACACAAAAAAAAATAAAAAAACACATTATTGTAAACTCAATACATTCATCGTTCCACTCAGAATCTAAAATAAGTATCCTAGTTTTTATTAATTTATATTTCATTTTTATTTAAAAATAAACATATTGATAATTATTTTTATTCATTCTACACATCTACCACCATTTATAATAAATGTTGAGTTTGATATTAAAGTATTAATTTATTTAGTGATATTTAAATCAATTACCTATAAACTTTTATTTTTATCTTATGATGTTCAGTATGTACATAGGTATAATGTATATATATATTTTAATTTTAAATAGGTTCATTAAATTCTAAAATCTAAAACAGTTAATAGTTTAATATATTTTAAATGATAATTGTTTGTTGTTTTTAGACCAACAAGTTTTACGAGAAGCTGGAGAACAAACTATTAATGCAGAGTGGTCAGCAACAGTGTCTGCATTAAATTCATCAAACACAACTTCAAGTAATTCCTATATTAATATTGAGACATTAAAAGAGTGTTGTGCTAATCCTTCAGATACTCTTAAAGATAAAGACGATTTTATGGTTATTGAATCTTCTTCTACTGTTGTAAATATATCAAATTTCAATGACACAAAATATTATTCAGAATGTAAAACTACAGCATTTCAGAAAAAACACAAACCACTTTCTCAAAACGTTAGTCGTTGTTTTGAGAATATTCTAGATGATGATAGCCAAATGGAGATAACTCAGAATAGTATTTGTTTAAATCGTTTTCAAAAGCGTAAAAGGTTGATACCACCAAATGATGAAGATTTTATTGAAATTAATAATTCCAATTACAGTGGCTCAAATAGTATGGAAGTCAGCATGATGAAGTCTCCAAAATTCAGTTTTTCCAGGAAAAAAAAGGATCAATTTGAAATACCAGATTATAATTTGTCTGCCTCAGAAAGTGATTCAATTGCTAATGAAACTAATATATCTAAAAGGAAAGAAAATACATCAAATTGCTCTATTGTTGTAAATGATAGTTCCAACAATATGAGGAATGCATCAAGAACAGAAGTCTTTACCCACAAATTCAGCCTAAAAACAATTGGTGTAGCTGATTCTGTTTTTGAAAATATTATCAATAATTCAAGCATTATATCTGATATTACATTAAACAACAAGAAAACATCGTTGAATGAAACTGCATTATCAAATGTTAACAACTCATCAGTTTTTAGTAAAATGGACTCGTCTAATTTAAACCATACCTATGATATACCCAATAATACTAATTCTACATCAGTCAAAGCTTCAATTGCTGGTGATGCTGATATACCTAAAGTAAAACAAAATACTGTTTTTAAAAAACCATCAAACTTATCTATTCTTGTAAATGATAGCTCTAACAATATCATGGATGTATCCAAAACGGAAGTCTTAGCACAAAAATTCAGCAGAAAATCAATTTGTGTACCTGATTCTGCATTTGACAACATTATTGATGATTCAAGCATGACGTCTAATATTGGATTAAATAACATGAAAACATCATTGAATGAGACCTCAGTGTCAAATATTAATAACAGTAAAATGGACAAGTCACATTTAAACCATACCTATGATATACCCACAAATATTAATACTCCTAAAATTGATGTTATTGGTGAAGCTAATATACCTAAAGTAAAACAAAATACTGATTTAAAAAATCCTTCAAATTCGTCTATAGTTGTAAATGATAGTTCTAACAATATCATTGATGTATCCAAAACAGAAGTCTTTACACACAAGTTCAGCCGAAAAACAATTGATGTAGCTGATTCTGTATTTGACAATATTATTAACAATTCAAGCATTATATCTGATATTACGTTAAATCATAATCATACATTCCCGAATGAACAGCTAGTGTCAAATGTTAATAATTCAATGCTTAATAAAATTGATATGTCTAATTTAAACCATACATATGATATCCCTACAAACATTAATACTTCTACAATTGACGTTTCTATTGCTGGTGATGCTAATATACCTAAAGTAAAACAAAATACTGATTTAAAAAAACCTTCAAATTCGTCTATAGTTGTAAATGATAGTTCTAACAATGTCATGGATGTATCCAAACCAGAAGTCTTTACACACAAGTTCAGCCGAAAAACAATTGATGTAACTCATTCTGTATTCGACAATATTATTAATGATTCAAGCATGACATCTGAATTAAATAACAAGAAGGTATCCTTGATTGAGACGTCAGTATCAAATGATAACTCTCCAGGTTTTAGTACAACGCACGTTTCTAATTCAAATCACACCTATGATATACCTATGAATAACAGTACTACTCTTTTGGATGCTATTGTTGAACATGATAAAAATATGTCTGAAACTAATATTTCACTTCAAAATAACAGATCTAAAAGCTTTAGTTTACGTCCACTAAAATTTAATTTTAGTAATAAATTTGGTCGCCATAGTCTGAGCTTACAAGAAAACAGTCCAAGCTTTGATGGAGTAAAGCAACACAACATTTCATTAAATACTGATTTTAGCAAAAACTCTGGAGAAGAATCTAATATTTTTCATAAATTTGCTAATAATAGTAATGTGAACTTAAAGTCACATCCACACTTTTCTATAATTCGAGAAGTGCCACCACTTGATGATCCATTACTAACCAATACATTAAATCAAGAACAACTTCAATCAAAGCATTCAATTATTTCCAATTCAAATAATAAAGATTTTTTATTGTCAAATACCACTACTGAATCATTAGAAAGTAAAGAATTCCAAACAAATCAATCAAAACATTCAATAAGTTCTACTTCAAGTAATGAAGGTTTAACTTTGTTAAATTCTACTACTGGATTGTTGGGAAGCTGCAGTTCATCGAGAACTCAATCAAGGTTATTGACATCAAAACAATCAAAAAGTTCTACTTTAAATAATGGTACATTACATTTGACTATAGAATCATTAGACAAATCACAGAATGATAAATCTAAGCATTTAATAAGCTATACTTCAAATAATGAAGATTTAACATTAACAAATTCTACTACTGGATCTTCAGGAAGACGTAGTTCGTCTAGAAATAAATCAACATCATCTGAACATTCAACCAGCGTCATTTCAAACCATGATAGTTTGACTTCATTAAATGCCACTACAGAAATATCAGTAGGTGGTAGATCGTCAAGAAATCTATCTAAACATTCAACAAGTGTTGTTTCAAACAATGATAATTTAACATTGTTAAATACCTCTATGGAATCATTAAAAAGTAATGAATCTCAGAAAACACAATCGAAACGTTCAATAAGTTCTGATTCGTATGATGAAAGTTTAAAATTGACAAACTCTACTATTGGATCTTCAGGAAGACGTAGTTCATCTAGAAATAAATCAACATCATCTGAACATTCAACAAGCGATATTTCAAACCATGACAGTTTAACTTCATTAAATGCCACTACAGAAATATCAGTAGGTGGTAGATCGTCGAGAAATCGATCTAAACATTCAACAAGTGTTGTTTCAAACAATGACAATTTAACATTGTTAAATACCTCTATAGAATCGTTAAAAAGTAATGAATCTCAGAAAACACTATCTAAGCGTTCAATAAGTCCTGATTCATGTAATGAAAGTTTAAAATCAACAAATTCTACTGCTGGATCTTCAGGAAGACATAGTTCATCTAGAAATAAATCATCATCAACATCATCTAAGCATTCAACAAGTGCTATTTCAAAAAATGACAGTGTAACGTCTTTAAATGGCAGTAATGAAATATCAGTGAGTAGTAGATCGCTGAGAAATCGATCTAAAAATTCAACTAGTGTTATTTCCAACAATGATAATTTAACATTGTTGAATACCACTATGGAATCATTAAAAAGTAATGAATCTCAGAAAACACAATCAAAGCGTTCTATAAGTCCTACTTCATATAATGAAAGTTTAAAATCAACAAATTCTATTACTGGATCTTCAGGCAGACGTAGTTCATCTAGAAATAAATCAACATCATCTGAACATTCAACAAGTGATATTTCAAACCATGACAGTTTAACTTCATTAAATGCCACTACAGAAATATCAGTAGGTGGTAGATCGTCGAGAAATAAATCTAAACATTCAACAAGTGTTGTTTCAAACAATGATAATTTAACATTGTTATATACCACTATGGAATCATTTAATAGTAATGAATCTCAGAAAACACAATCAAAGCGTTCTATAAGTCCTACTTCATATAATGAAAGTTTAAAATCAACCAATTCTACTACTGGATCATCAGGAAGACGTAGTTCGTCTAGAAATAAATCATCATCAACATCATCTAAGCATTCAACAAGTGCTATTTCAAAAAATGACAGTGTAACGTCTTTAAATGGCAGTAAAGAAATATCAGTGGGTGGTAGGTCTTTGAGAAATAAATCTAAACACTCAACAAGTGTTATTTCTAACCCTGAAAATTTACCATTGTTAAACGCCGCCACTATGGGATCATTAGAAAGTAATGAATCTCTGAAAACACAATCAAAGCGTTCTATAAGTCCTACTTCATATAATGAAAGTTTAAAACCAACAAATTCTACTACTGGATCTCAAGGAAGACGTACTTTGTCTAGAAATAAATTGTCATCAACATCATCTAAGCATTCAACAAGTGCTATTTCAAACAATGACAGTGTAACGTCTTTAAATGACAGTAAAGAAATATCAGTGGGTGGTAGGTCTTTGAGAAATCAATCTAAACATTCAAAAAGTGTTATTTTAAACAATGATAATTTAACATTTTTAAATACCACTATGGAATCATTAAAAACTAAAGGATCTCAGAAAAGGCAGTCAAAGCGTTCTATAAGTCCAACTTCAGATAATGAAAGTTTGAAATCAACAAATTCTACTACTGTATTTTCAGGAGGACGTAGTTCATCTAGAAATAAATCATCATTATTGACATCTAAACATTCAACAAGTGTTATTTCAAACAGTGACAGTCTAACATCGTTAAATGCCACTACAGAAATTTCAGTAGGTAGTAAGTTGTCAAAAAATCAATCTCAACATTCAACAAGTGTTATTTCTAACCATGACAGTTTACCATTGTTCAGCGCCGCCACCATGGGATTATTAGAAAGTAATGAATCTCCAAAAACTCAATCAACAAGTCCTACTTCAAATATTGAAAATTTAACAACTTTGAATACCACTACTGAATCATTTAAACAAAATGTATTTTCAATAAATGAATCAATTTCAAAACATTCTTCATTAATTAACGGCGGAAAAACATCCATTAATGCATTAATACTTGGAGATGTTATAAATAATGTTAGTAGAATGTCTACTCGATCATCAAAACGAAAAAGCAATTGTTCGGGTAATGTGGAACCTATAACTTCAATTATTATTGATGGATTATCTAATAGTGATGGTTTAACAATTAAAAATACTACTACTGGACCTTTGGAACAAAAGACATTGTCAATAAATCAATTAAATTCTTCACCAAATATTTCTAAAAAAACGTCCACCAATGGATTGATACTAGAAGATGATACAAATAATATTAGTAAAATGTATGCTTCATCGTCCAAACAAAAAAACAAATCTTATGATGATATCGAACAAATAATGCCAAATATTACTGATTTCCTATTGGTAGAAAATAGACCATCTAAAACTAGAGTACTGAGATCTTCTCTGCATATTAATAAAAATAAATCTTTACCAACTAAATCATTGACGTCAGAAAATGATGTGAATAATTTATCTATTGGTTCTACTAGAACTTCAAAACACATGGCTAATTTTAATAATGAAACTTTTGATAATAATTCTGATAATTCATTATTTTGGACAACATTACCTGATGAATCCACAAACATATCAAATATCCAGAATGTAAATATGAATACATTTCAAACGCCTAAGAGAAATAAATTATCTATTGCAGAAAATATAGTTAATACAATTAAAATCATGTCAACAAATAAACAAAAATCAACTCATCCAGGCGCTTTTGAACTTGATGATCATAATGATGGACCATTAACAAGATCATTAGTAACACGTTCACGTTCATTTAATCGCAGTCCTTCAATTCTAACTGCAGTGTTTGGTGGACAAAAAACCTCAGAGTCAACGTCATTGTCCACACCCTCTGAAATTATATTTGATCAATCACAAGTTGAAGAAAATGTAAAACAAAAGTTTAAGTCTCTGTATAAGAAAGAATCATGGATTACTAAACGTCTTTACAAATTTTTAATTATTAAGCTGCAACCAAATTATAATATATATTCGGTGAAGTATGCAGAAAAGTTTGTCAAATATTTAGCACAGTTATTAAAGCAAATTCTTAAAGATCAAGTAAATTTGCAGTTGTGCACAGATATGTTGAGATACCACATGGCGAGATATCACATCATCAAAGATACATTTGATTACTTAGGATTTTTGTGTGATTACATTCCAATGGAATATTATAAAAAGTTAGTTCCTGGGTGGAACCTTGAGACATCAGCAGTAAAATTTGATCCACAAAAATATTATATTCCTCTCATGGATGATGAAGAATTTTTACATTATATTATGGAACACCTTAATGAAGCTTAATTTAGTATACCTCTATTTACCACCAATAATCGGTACTTTTTTCTATATTTTATTATTATTATTAATATACTGTATGAAGTAGATTAAAGAAGATATTTTATTTTATAGTTTATTATTTATTAAATTGTCAGTTTAATGTAATATGCTGAATTTAATTGAGATTTGTACTTTTTTTTTAAATATATGTAATTTTTAATATTTTACAGCTGAACTTTTAATAATAAAACAGAATTTTTTGTGTAATTGTGTGAAATTGTTTTAAAATTAAAAATGGTATTCTTTAAATCGTAGTCAGATTAATAGAATTGTTGGTTAAAAACTCATCATTTTGTTTTTCGCACAGTTAACACATTGACTGACATGCTTTGAGCTGAGAACATTTTGCATCAAATGATATTATGTTAGTTGCTTTAACGTATTAAAAATGAATCAAATATTGTTATACATGACATGTTGCTATGTAAAACCACGTCGCATGGCAGTCAACGTGTAAATGCCTATGTGTACTAACCTAACTTACTTTTAGATTCTAAATGTAGCAATTAATGTATTGATTGTACAATGATATGTTTTAGTTTTTTGTGTCTGAAGGCACTGCCAATTTCTAGTAGAAAAAATGCTCTGATCATCAGTTTTGGTTGAGGTTTTTTCATAGAAAATTGGATCTAGTTTGTACTATAAGAAGGTCAATATGGAAAATTGTCAGTACTATTTAAAATAATTGGAAAAAAAACAAAAATAAAGAATGGAAATTTATTAAAATTTTAGTATTATTTTTAAAATAATTGTTAGGTAACCTTAGTTACCAAAACATTTGACCGTTCATATTTAGATTTATTCTAGGTTTTCTTCTATTTGATGAAATATTGTTCGTTGGTCAAAAAAACTCAATAATTTAATACAAGGTTCTTCATTAGTTGAAATTATACCTATTTATAAATATGTCAATATCACAAAAATTTGTAAATTATCTTGTAGTTAAAAATGTATAACATTTAAAATGTTTCATAGGTATAAGGCTAAACATTGTTTAAAAGAAGGTTCTTCATAAGTAGTTGATAACTGTAAGCAAACATCACTGATAAATGTTTGATAATTGGTATGCAAATGCAATATTTCTTGCAAAAATTAATTTAACTTACTTATTATTAGGTACTATCAGCAGTATTAATATAATATAAAATGTCCTTGGTTTGACACGCAGTCTCCGCTCAGATCCATTTTTTTTATTTAATGATATTTACTGAATTCAAATTTAAAACTATGTCTATTGAAGTGACCCAATCGACAACTACTGTGCAGGAAAACGATATCCACTAGCCACCTTTTTGAAACTATTTTGTTAAGAGCTTATGAAACATAGACAATTTAATTTTTAATCAGGAGGTTCAAAATAATAATATTCATATATCGTATATTACAACTAGAAATCGGATTTATAGCATTTGCATATTTGTACTAAGTGTATGCACGTCTAGGTGGTTCTAAAATGTCCATGGTTCATCTTACACTGAATTTAAACACCAAATTTTATATTGCATATTTTGGGTATTTAGAGAATTGTTGCATATTAGTTTATAAATGCATATTTAAGAGGAAGCTACCCATACATTTGTTGTCTCCGTCTTACACACGCACGACAGCAAATTGTCGTTCACTAGTTTCAATAGTATGCAGTTAGTTTTAATACTAGAGTGAATTGACCTATTATAACATATTTAGATAATAACATTATCTGTGCTTAAGCATTGGCTTTTATTCAATATTTTAATTTTCAAGCGAGATATGAGCATTTTAAATTTTTGATATTTCACGTACACATATCTTACTTGAAAATATTTAAAAATCGCCAACGCTTGAGCACAGATAATATTCTTACCTAATAGTATGATAATAGGTAAATTCACTCTAATATTAAAACTAACAACACACTATTTAAACTAGCGAATGGAAATTTGGTATGTCGTGCGTGTGTAAGACGGAGACAACAAATACATGGGTAGCGTCCTCTTAATGGATTTTTAATAAATTACCTATTTTAATTTAAGATAAATATATTTAAAAGAAAAAAAATCATTGATAGGGTCTCCTACAAGAATATTGTTAAAATATTGTCATTTTACAACACTTCATGAGATCGGAGCACGTATATATAATATTATATTAAGAATAATAAATCACATACACCTGTATTTCGGCATACTGTGTTGTTACTTCGAAGCACAGACTTCTATACTACACTATATAGAAATCTGTGCTTCGTAGTAACTCAATTTTACAAATTTTTTTTAATAACTAATAATATTTACAATGATTTTATTATTTTGATATTGATAATTTTTTTTTAAGTTTTCTGAGTGTTTTAGACATTGTATTTTAAACAATCTAAAATATGAAAAAATGAATATTATAAAATATTGCATTATGGTTTTTAAAGTATTAAATGTTTAACTATTTAAAAAAATATATAAAAACTAGAAGAAAAAAAATAACATTTTATAATGTATAACATAATACATATGGCATATAGGTAATTGCATTTTCCTTGCATATTTGACACTTTTCAATTGCATATAAATCTGGGATCTAATTATAACTAAAATAAAATATCAGTTTTCTTTAATATATTAAATTTTATGTATGTTCAAATAGATTCATCATCTAATATGTGCTTATGGTATAAGACATGGGTAGCATACCAATGTCACACGCATGTCAAAAGTTATTCGTTGGCCAAATTTACCCGTTACGCTAAAATAATTTTATTTAATTGCTTAAAGAAAAAAATGATATATTTCTAAAAATTATGTCGTCACTTTTAATTCGAAATAAACTCAATATTTGTAATAATTTCTATGATATGTGAATGTTGCACTGAATTATTTCAAATCAAAATTGCCTGTTTCATTATAACTTATAACATTTAAGACTACCAAAACACCATAACTGATATTAAAATAATTTTTTTAGTTCTCCATCACAAAAAATTGTTTATAGGTACCTGCCTAAGAACATGTATCACTGGCACCTGAATGTTTATAAAATGATTACAAAATGTTGGCACTTGACCAGAAAACAGTTTTATTACCTCTGGTATAGGATGCATCTGGATTAGACAATTTTAATAAAAAATTAAATGAGTAATTGCAAATCATCTAAATAACACTGTGTATAATATATAGTTTATAGTATGTATATTAACATAAAATTGTCAGAATACAGCGTTACAATTAAATTTCAAGTATTCAAATCAAATCTGAACTACATGGCGATAAAAAAAATTTAAATGTTTACATTTTAGTAAGAATAAGAAACCAATCATTATGCTTTTTATTACAATTATAATATTTATTCATAAAATACTACTTGGATTCGATTTTACTACTCAAATTAGTCTTATACATATGCTACGTCGTTATTTTATGTATTAGCAACTAGCAGGGCTCGTAAGTTCATGCCCTAAAAAATGCCTGAATAAACATGCATTTTCCATTTATCTTTTTATACCTAGTTATATTTTAATTTTTTATGTCACAATTAAAAAAAAAATAGATTTTAAATAGATTATAAACAATCGAGTTTTTTTCATCAAATGTTGATTCTTTCATAGTATTTCCATAAAAAAATGCATATTGATATAATAATATGAATAGGAATATCAAAACCATATATAATATGCCCTATAAAATAGAATTATGCATAAATACGGCAAATAGGGAAATTAACTCTAAATATGCAAAATAAGACTTTACATTTTAACCGTGGTACCTTAAAATGGATTTTTATGCCATCTAGTATTAAATACAACTTAGCAAGATTTAAATGCAAATGCATGAATTTACGAGCCCTGGTAACTAGTAACTACGATATGATTTGATTTAAAATTACTAGTATTCAAACACCTCTAGACACAATATATACAAAAGAAAAATCATTATAATAAAAAAATTTAGTTAAAATTCAATCTTGTAGTTTAATACGAATACATTATAATATAATTGGAAATTTAACAGTAATTACTAATTAATTATTAATTAAATCAATGAACACAATTATTTGAGTTGTTAAATTTAAAAATATTTACTCCGACTTAAGACTAAGGAAAATACTTCAACAAATAATCGGTCATTGTCGATATACATTCTGTACATAGACATTTAGCATGGTCTCAGCTCTGCTTAGGTAGATTGTCCATTCCCATTTGGTGTCTGGATGTTGGTATGTTTGGTGTTTCTTGAATTGTTTGATACATTGGATTCGATGTTTGGTTATGACTTCTATTATGTTGATTCCATGTTTCCTGCCCAATACCTCCTCTAACAATAACTTGTGATTGAGCTGCAAGATTAGGCGAATAGTGTTGGTGTTGCTGAGGATGTCGGGAAGCAGGTATAGCATAATTTTGATGATACCTATGTTGCTGGAGAATCTGATTATCCATGGACGGTAAATAGTTAGATCTGGGGGGCAATGATGTATCAACGTGATTAGGAGGGGCTGGTGCAACTTGATTCATCATATTTTGAGGCACCAGTGGAATAGCTAGTCTAGCATTAACAGCTAATAAATGATCTCTACGTCTAGTAAATGTAGCCAATTCTTTTTCTAAGTCAATGTTTTCATTTTTCAGCTGATACAAACACGATAGTAATGATGCTACGTCAAAATGTTGTGCTTGTTCCATTAACAATGAACCTCCTTGTTCCCATTGCCGTTCGAGTAAATCTTCTAAACTTTGAGAACTATTTCCAATCCCATTAGTAAACCATTCTGGACCAGAAGCATTTGACTGAGGAGCATCGGTAGGAGGCTTTTGAACATGTCGATATAACTGGGGACCCATTAACAATGGTGGTCGAGATGTTGGTATATTATTTTCATTGAACTGCTTATGTGTCTTAATTTCTTCATTTAATGTATCAGTCATTTGTTGAGCCATGGTGGAATTTGGATTTAAAGCATTTCCCAACATATGCGGAGCATCAATACTGGATTCAAAATACTTTTGGTCGTTTGCTTCTTTATTTTTGGCAGTGATTGAGTTGGACATATTCATCATGTTTGGATCTTTAATCCATGTGTTTGTCATGTTTATTGGAGGGATATTTGGATCCATACAAGATAAATTTGGTTCTTCAATAATTTTTAAGCCATCGGACTGTAATCCATCATTGACCATACAAAATTCCATTGAATTATCAATATTTTCACACTTAATCTCCTTTTCAGATTGTGTATCGTTGGGATACTGTTTAATACTGCCCACTGACACACTTTCCATTTTACCTTTTAGTTGACGAGTTGCAGCTTGAGAATGGTTTGTAGGAGTACTTTGAGGTTTGTCTTTGGATTCTTCATAAGTATTAAATGATGTCAATTTTTTTTTTGATTTGGCTTGACCGTCATTGTCAATGTTTTCGTGAGTAAATTCATCTAATGATATTTCAGATGCATTCTGAGGTCTGTATGGAGCAATGTGCTTTATTTTTAAATTGTTATTCTTCTTAAGTTTTGAATAATGATGTTTACAATATCCGACATACTGAACATTACGCCCGTGGTTTCCTGCTTCTTCGCACAACAATCCGACGTTTTGTGCACAAGTTACATGGAATCCTAATTTACAACCTCCTTTTTTACAAGTCATGCAAGCTCCATAAACTGAAACCTTAGGTTCTCTACTCTTTTCTTCACAAATATAGCAAATCTTTTTAAACCTATCAGGTGGTATTTCGCTTAATTTTATTGGTTCCATTATGTGAACATCTATAAAAGTCACTTCAGGAATAAACAAAGCACATACAACATGAGCCCAATTCCCATTTTCTGTTGGCTTGAGCGCGCCATCTTTAGATGGACATAATTCACATATCACTTTAGCACTTGGATTTTTTTTAAGAGCCACACACTTATTACAGTACCACGATCCTTTTGGTACTACACGAATTCCATAGCAAGCTTTGTGTACAGCAACATTGCAATTTCGACCGTCACAGTATACTAAAGGGTTATCGTCAAACGCTTTATCTTCACTACATACACTGCAGTTTCCCAACATTTCTTTCATTGCTTTACCTGGAAAAAAAAATTACAGTTACATTAAATTGGGTACACTCGAAAAAGTTCTTATTAAATATTTCAAAATATACGATATACGAATGGATCATGGAACATGCACAAATCATAAGTCCTACCTACCCAAATTTCGATCAAATGAGCTCAGTTTATTTCGAAATAAAAATCTGGAATTGCATATTTAAATTGCAATAAATTACTCGTAGGTACCTATCTGATTGTTACAATGAACTACGGTATTATATACTCCATAGTCCATATTATAACCATATTGTATTTAATATATTATTAATACTAAAATACTAAATACCTAGCATTTACTTAACATCAGACCTGCCGACTGCCGACTATAGGTGTTGTGCAAAATACGTATATATCTGTTATCACCAAATAATCAATAACATAATATTATATTCCACCAACACTACGTAGGCTAGGCATTACAGCAGCAATCAAATAACAAACAGTACTTACGATTCATAAGATAAATTGCTGGTTATACGCCAGTTGTACATAATAACGACGACGGTGTGATATTCGCGGGTTATGAGCAAAATGAAATCGTCCGAGAACCGTAGTCGATGAAACGAAACGAAAGAAAAGAAATTCAAATTTTTCGAAAAATTTGTAGACGACGCACGGACGAATGGCCAACGAAAAGCGTGTAACAAAAAAGGGAAATATCGAGTAAATGTTAGTAAAACTGGTTATTATCAGCGGCGGCGGCGGCGGCGGCGACGACAGTCGTCACCATAGAGCCCGCTGCTCGTCGCTCGGTAGTTGACCTCAACCACCGAAACACGGTTACGACCATAGACCAGCCACCAGCGCATTCCGCGACACCGCCCTGTCGTCGGTGCCAGGCGATCGCATAACCATATGACCGAGAGAGAAGGAACATGGAGTAGCGAAGGAGCCCGGCGTAAGGAACTGTGTACACTTCGCTACTTTGTTCCTTTTCTCGCTCACTCTAAATGGTACCCGTGACTCCTCTCTCTCTCTCTGAGCGCTCTGTCCACGGCCATTTGTGCTTATCATACCGACGGAACGGACATGAAAATATTTTGAGGTTAGAGCTCTTAACACAAATAATCATCGTGTATGATAAGACCTCTGCCGGAGCGAGAGGCAACGATGAAAAACAGTCTTTCTCTCTTCCCCGTTCCGGCCCATCACCGCGGCAAGTTTACGTTCCGAGTCGCGTCGGTCGTTTCTTCCATGCCCAATCGTTGGCCATCCCGTCGTAATCGGCTGTCGTGAAGTTGCATAAAAAAAAAAAAAAAAAACCGAACGGGGATAAAGGAAAAAACGAACTATCATCCGTCTTGTTTTAATTTTAATTTATCATTATTATTTTTTTTTCACGAGTCGAAAATTCGATCCGTAAATCGGCCGATGCCCGGTCGTGTGTCAATCGCAAGTTCCAATTCTGCGGGACGGTCGCGCGAAACAATAATAATTGTCCGGAACGCGTGCGGGGTGCATTATACGAAATAGATTTGTTAATGACCAGAAAACACCGCGGCGAGACGACGACGGTAGAGACGGAATTCGTGAAATGTCACGTCATGAAGGTAAGCATACTGCGATTCTGAATATGTTTTGGTTTTCGCGGAAATCGCCACTTTTTTTCCGGCCGCGGCTCACGAGAAGCCAACGCGAACATTGGATCATTGGCGGTTTTGAAATTCCTCTGTGGTGTCGACCATAATCCAAACTTTGTATGTCTATGACACTGCACTGTTGTCAATGATAGGGAAGAACTAGGTATTCGATTCACGAAAATTCAATACATATCCCGTCGTCCGTGAACTCGAAATGTGTACTCAATACGCCGATGTTTTGCTCTGTTCTACGTAGTACTATTATTATTGTATCAAAATGATCTGTAGTTTTGTCAGTCCTAACTGGGGGGCAGTCATTACCTTAAAGTTGTGCATTAGCAATACGATGAAAATGTTTTTTTACAAATAGTGTTTATATATAGGTATCGTGTATGAACATAGTTATATAAAATAAACGTTATCAAAAATAATCTTTTGCTAAGCTAGAATTATGTCACCCCTATCTTATCGTATCTTACCGACTAATATTGTGTACCTACTTTTGTTTGATATTTTAAGTTTCAATAAATAGGTACCTAACTATAATTAATAATAAATGTATTTAATAATTATTTTACATACTTAATTTAATAATAATACTGTAACTTACCTATATTTTTATGTAACTAATTATTTGTTACCCGATAAGTATACTTTTTATACTTTAGTCACACACACACACACACACAAAAGTCAGTAATGAATGTACCCAATAAGCAATATCCCAGCAACGAGAAATAGAATACTTACTAGGTAATTGAATATAAATTTGTATCCATCATCTATTTTTATATTAATTTGTTAATAATAATCAACCTAACTCAAATATAATAAACAAATAATTATTAGCTACTTGAATAACTATGTATAATGTAGCTATGTATACAATTTTTTTTAAACTGTCATTACGTTTTTTATTAATTTTATATTAACTTAAATGGCCGCAACAGCAATATTTATTTTGTTCGTCTCATGTTTAATATAGCAACATAAGTTCTATCTAACCGACCTGACCAGATCATATTGTGTGTAGGGGGCTTACAAATTTGTGTTTAGCAGAATACATTTTGTCTTGGTAGTTTTAATATTATAGTAGATTGACTTTTTATCAAATTAGATGGTTAAAATATGTTTAGAATCTGTATTTTCTTGTTGGTTTTTAGTTTTTGTAGATATTTTAATTTTAAAACCAGTTATAAATATGTAAAATATTACAATTTAAAAATACTGGTAACACATATAAAATTAAAATAATGAGAAAACTCTGAACATTCTGCGGAGTGGTATTAATTTGAATTTTTTGACACAAAATTTGTGGCTTATAAATTAAGTACCTATTAATTAATTTCTATAGTAGGTGCAAAAAGTATGTCTTATTTATATTTTAGGTAGGTAACTAAAACAAAATTCAATAATTTATGTAATTTAAATAATAACACAACAAGTATTTGTCTTGAGTGTCTTGTCTTAAAAATGTATTTAAATGACCAACTAAAATTTCTTAATATTATTATTTAGAATGTTTTCAAAATAAATATTTTTATTCTTACCCGCTAACATGCTTCACTAAAATATCTCATCAGTAAAATATCTGTTGTAACACACATTTGTATTTACAATTTAAATGTTTACTCCATTCTGTATAATTTCATTATTCCATCGAATTTTGTACTATTTACAGTTTGTAGTAATCTTGTCTCAGAAAGATTAAAGGGTTAAATTATTATTCCAAAATATTTTATAAAATTTGCAAGCTAACAATATTACAACACTAATGCTTGGTTGCATTAAAATTAAAAATTGATCAATTTAATGGACCACTCATTTAGTTCACTATTAATTATAGTTATATATTGATTCCCCAATTGATTCATTAAATTATTAGTGATTGACGATTGTTCATCTAAACCACCATTAATAAGGTCTGGTCTAACTGTTCAACAAAATAATGACAATAAATGACTCGTATGTTTATTATAATAACAAATTAAGAAGTGTAAGGCTAGAATACAGCAAAAAATATAAAATTCATAGGTTTTGCTAGACAGCCGTAATTGATAAACTGATGACATTAAACTATAAAAATTAAGTTAACAATTTAACTGATCCTAGAAAATCTCCGAAACCCTAGAAAAATATGGTTCTTTTGAATAAGATAATTTTAATTTTTCAATATTTATATAATGTTAATTACCTGCAGCTTAAATAAAATTATGTGTTTTAATTACAGGTGTTAGCTGTGATGCATGTATGAGAGGAAACTTCAAAGGACGTCGTTTCAAATGTTTAAAATGCTACGACTATGATCTATGTGCTCATTGTTACGAAGCAGGCGCAACCACACCACGTCATTCAGTTGATCACCCAATGCAGTGTATTTTAACACGTGCTGACTTTGAGCTATATTATGGTGGCGAATCATTGGCATCTGATCAGCCACAAGCATTCACATGTCCTTTTTGTGGACGTATGGGTCTTACAGAGGTGGTGCTAACAGAACATGTCACAGCTGAACACCCGGATTCTACTACAGAAGTTGTTAGTATACTTCTTAAAATAAACTTTTGGTTCTTAAGGTTACAAATGTAAAACATAGCAAAAACCTATGCACAGGGACTAGAACCACTCAGGCTGTAGTCCATGTTAAGAGGACGTCGTACCAGCATGTGTTGTATCCTTCTTACACACATACGACATGGAAAATTTTTGTTAAACAGTTTCAATTGTTGTTAGTTTTGATATTGGAGTCAATTGACCTATTATAAAATGAAAAGGTAACATTATTATTTAGGGCACAACGTAGGCTTTTCTCGATATTATTCTTAAGTAACTTATGACCTTTTTGAAACGGTACATTTTAAAATGTTCATGACTTATTTAAAAATAATAATATCAAAACTAACAGCACACTATTGAAACTGTTATGTCGTACATGCGTAAGACGGAGACAACACATATGGGTACAATGTCCTCTAATGCAACCAAATTTTCACACTAAAAAGAGGAGAACATTGATTGTAATGATTGTATATAGTTGTTTTTAATTTTTTGGTATCACAAATACAATAAAAGTTTTTATTGTTTAAAATTTCATCATTTTTTAGTTTTTCAAACATGAATAATTTTTTTTAGTTCTGATATCAAATAAATAAAAAATACGTTGCACAGTAAATGTTTTCCTCTTTATAGTGAGGACATTTTGATTTCTTAGCTTGAACTAGAATACCATGCTGAGTGGTTCTTACATGCGTAAAACTGATTTGCTATGTTTTACATTTGTAAGATAGAGACAACATCTTAGGTCTAGCGTCCTCTCAATGAAATCCCTGATCAAATCTTTTTTTCATTATGTACAGATTTAGTAAATAAAAAAATCATTTTACATGACTTGTAATTAAATATTGTACATTTTTAAATCAAAATATGTTTTGATTATATCAAATAGCATTACTACTTTACTGTAGATAAGTATAAATATTTCATTTTTAAAATTGCAAATATTTTCTTGGCAATTTCTTGGGCACAAAAATATGTGTAACAAGCTATGTACTAACTGTATATATTTTGTTAATGAATGATAATGCAGTCGTGTGTAATTATATAAAAATATGCTTGCAAAGAACATACATACCCTACAAATATATTATTTCCATACAAACTTGTTAAGACAGCTTAGATGATAGACATGTTCTAAAAGTATGGTTAACATTCCTAATATTATCTATTAGTAAAATAAAAATTTGAATGTGTTAATATTATGACATATTTTATACTGTTTATCATAAACTATGAATTTATTATGCAATTTTGTACTGTGTGTTATACTAATTAGTAATTTATAATTTAGGTGTGTCCAGTTTGTGCAGCACACCCAGGAGGTGATCCAAATTTGTTGACTGATGATTTTTCAGTTCATTTACAAATGCAACATCGTGCCAGTCCAAGTGTTCCAAGAGATTTAATTTCATTTTTAATATCCTTTTTATATTAGAGATTTAATTTCATTTTTAATATCCTTTTTATATTAGAACTTACATATTATTTTTTAGTTACATTATCTTTTTATAACATAATAAAAAAAAAAAAACAGTATGATTGTGATAAATACTTTCTAAGGAAATCATGATTGTTTAAAAGTTTCATTATGTTGAGTAGTAGATTATAATCTTACATAATATTAAAATTAAGAGATGATCCAGAAGCAGTGATAGAGGCAATAGAAATTAATGTGGGAGAGATAGTGAAAGGAAAACCTAATAAGAGATTGGTAGACAATATTAAAAATGGCATGAAAATAGCGGGTATGTGTAAAGAAGAGGCGAGGACAAATCCCTATACACAATGGTGCCTAACCCCATATATTTGGGAGTGATAGACATAGCAACAGCAAAATATATTTTTATTAAACTACATAATATTGTAATTATTTTTTGTGGTTTTTCCTTAATTAAAGTTATCACGATGAACCTGTTGCAAGACATTCTGTTCGGCGTATACCACAGTCTGCAAGAGGTATGGGAAGTACAAGGGTTCGAAGAGCAATCAATTTCAGGTACCGGGCAGCAAAGTACGGACAATTTAATTATATTTATTCAAACAGTAGTCTTTTATGGCTTGAAATTCAAAAAAAAAAATACATTTTTTATTAGTTTGGCTAATGCATTTGGTGTTTAATTGCTATAGATATTTTTGTTTTATTATTATTTGCTATTTTTGAATTACATATATTAAATTGTTGATGCGTAAATAATAGTTGTTAATATTTTTAATATTTTACTAAATGAATAGTTATTAATATTATTCAAATGCATTCTAGTGGTGGAACGAGAGATGGTTCAGATCCAATTGCTGAGCTATTATCACAGTTAAGTGGAGTTCGTAGAGCACAATCAAATAGCGTGCCTGGATCGTCAGCAAGCAGCTCACAAGGCACTCACAATGTTTCTTCACAGCTGCAACAGTTGCAGATGCAGCTGCAGCTTGAAAGACAACAAGTCAGGGTATTGTATATTAGTAATAATGCCAAATTTTGTTCCATAAATATTTTTAATGATTTACATTATATGAACAAATTACAGCACTTTATTAAAAATATTTTATGGTTATAGGCTGCTAGACAACAACTAGAACGTCTACCTCGTCGCCAAGGACATGGCTCATCTGCAGCAGCTGCATCATTAGCTAACAATAATATAGTTGGATCTGGAGCACCAACACAAGCTGCTGGTACATCATCAAACCTACTTAGTATTCAAGTTGTAGATTCAAACTCTAACCAAAATCAGTCTGCACGTAATAGTTCATCACAATTTCTTATCAAGTATGTATTAATAGTTTTTAACTTTTATTATTAAAAGAAATAACCATACAAAATATAATTCCCTATAAATTGTAATTAAATATTCGTTTATTGGAATTTAAATTTTGAAAAAAATATTTGGATTAGAATCTATATTAAGTATTATAAAAAGGAACTACCGGTTTTTGGACTTTTGATACCTGCTAGTTATAACTCAGTCAGATATTCCACACCAGATATATTAGACAATTGACACCAAGCTTAGCGAATGACAATTACAGCTATTAGTTTGTTAAAGGAGCACACAGCACAAGAAAAATATTTTCTTTTAATTATTACTAAATATTAAATTATTGCAATCAGAACTCTTAAAAACAATTTGGTAAAAATTCAATGTAAAAACAATATTTAAGGAGATATTAGGGTACATAAAATAACTGGGTGACGTCATAGCGCTAGGCTCAATATAATTGCCTATCTTATACATGTTAACGTTGCTCAATTTACACAATGATTTACCAGCCTCAAAATTGTATTATTTTAATGTTAAAACTATTATGTAAAAAAAAATGTGTGATTTTTTATGCTAAAGATGATAGAAGTATAAAAATTACAATATAACGTTGAGTTTTTTTTATATATTAAAAATACTAAAAGAAATAATGATCAGTTGCGCCATACAAGTCGTAAAAGAACCCTACACAGACATTTGTTGTCTCTGTCTTACAAGTGCATAACATTGCAAATTGTATGCTCATGCTTAGCGTTAGATCACGTTTAGCTCCATTAGCGTAAAAATGAGAGTGAATTGACCACTAATAAAATTTGATGGTAAGATTATTATCTAGAGCATCTTATAGACTTTTTATTATATTTTAATTTTAAAGCAAGTTATGATTAATATTAATTATTTTAAAATTGTAAATTGCTTGTATATCTTAAAATACTCATAACTCGCTTTAAAATTAAAATATAACACAAAGCCTATGAGATGCCTTAGGTAATAATCTTACCTTTAAATTTTATTAGAGGTCAATTTAACTTTTAAACTAATGGAACTAAACGTGAAATGCTGGGTGTAAAATTGTGTATGTTATGCATTTGTAAGACAGAGACAACAGATGTCTGTATAGCAGCATCCTCTTGATACATAACTGCCACTGTTACAGAGGCGTGCATAACTTAAATTTCTTTTATAAGATTCTTAATATTTAAAAACAACTAAACATGACAAATTCTAATTCCATCTATGTGTTTAGTACATAAAAAACTTCACAACAAAAATTTAAAGTTGAAAATATCCTTTAATGGTAAATAAATTATTGTGTGAAGCGAGCAACTTTTACACATATAAAATAGGTAATCGTGGGATGCCCAGCCCAATGACACCAAGCGTCTATTTTCAATTTCTTATAACTTATTAAATAATTTGAGAAGAAACTTAAAATGATTTTTTTATATTTTTACTGTATATTTATATTATTACATCTTATATAATCAACAAGTTTTAAAAGTAAAAAAACTTCAATGTCAATTGTCAGATATATCAAAAGACCTATCAGTAGTTGTCAAATGCCCTACATTACAAATGTATTTATAGCCAATGTTGATACCACCATAGGACTTATACTAGTAGATGGAGCATTTTGAAAAAGCTTGGGCAGGTGATGTGGACTCTCGTGATAGATGTGCCATGTAGTGTGGTAACACCCAAACAGCACATTCACGTGTGACCACTGGAACTACATACATACTCCGTTTTGTATTAGGTCTATGGATGCCACACCATAAACATAGATATAAAATTGTATATAAAACATGATACTCTCTGATAACCGGTTGCTGGTATAATTATCACTTTTTTATCAGTTATAAACTGACAACTCAAAAATCAAAATGATTATTAGGATTTTTAAAATGAAAAATTATAAAATAAAGTATTTTAAATCACATTACCTAGCTCTGAATATAAGACTAATGTTTCTTACTTACCAGTTCCTACAATGATTTACAAATTGTTAAGAATATTTTAATTTATAGAGTGCATTAGTTAAATCAGTTATCTTTTATCTAAATTTCAACCGTTAGGGCTGTATTCATAGTCGATGCTTAAAAATAAATATTGCTTCTGCTAATTTTGATAATTTAAAAAATAAAAAATTTGTAATAATAACTAAAAGTAATGCTTAACACGTTCACTGCATATCATATTTTTGTATACTTGTCGTGACGCTGATAAAATTCTAGTTTTAAAAAAAAATTTCCTAAAAATTGAAAAATTAAAATATCAGTATATGGTTTCCACTTGATTATGAAACAATGCTTATAGAAGACACTGAAAAAAACCAAAAGTTAAATCGTAACACTGACCAAATTATAGTCCATTAAATAACAAGATACATGACGCCAATTGGCGTCATTCAGCATATGCGAACTATGTACAATGACGCATTTGGCGTTGTATGCAGCGAACGTGTTAAGGTAGATCTCAACCAACCTTAAAAAACAAGTAATACTTTTTCTTAAGCCAAAGTCTCATTTATGAATATAGCTTAAGGGGGTTAGAAGTGCTCAGTTTTTAAGGAGTAAACTATAGGCAATTAGTTTATCAGGTGAAGTTGTATAGTGCTGTTGTGTGAATAGTAAATAAAAATTTGTGTGAGTGTCCAGCTCTCCACCACTACTACTCGTATATTTAGTGGGATATTCATTATAATTTCCAGGAAACAACTAGCGGTTCGCACGTGTATGAACAAGTTATTGCATTTGATGAACTAATATATTTTGTTCCAACTAGAAACTAATTTTAATCAATTTAGACCTAAAAGCCTGACAAAAATACGTAAAGACACTAAAGTAAATCTAAAAACTTAAAAACTAAACTAAGATTTAAAAACAATTTTTAAAGAAATATCAAAAATCAATTTCTACAATAACCTAGAAAAAAGGTCGATCAACTGAAATCTTTTTACAGAATTGAAATCTGATTATTTTAAGTATGCATAATCTAGATAGGCTTTTTAGGTCTGAAACATGAAATAAATACGCCGCTTTCAATCCCCTTAAGAAGACGCCTCACTTGCATGTGTTGTCTCCGTCTTACAAACGTATTACATACCAGATTCACATTTTATGCCGTCAGCTTAAAAATTAGAGTGAATCAACCTATTATGAAACTTGATGGTAAGAACATTATCTGTGTTTTGTTGGAAGTTTTTAACGATAATTTAGTTTTTAATTTACATTTATTATACAAGCATAACTTACTTAAAAACTGAATTATTGTAAACAAAACACGCATAATGTTCTTACCATCAAGTTTCATAATAGATCGTTTCATTCTAATTTTTAAGCCAACAGCATAAAACGTGAATTTGGTATGTTAAGCGTTTGTAAGACGGAGACAACACATGCGGGTGGGGCGTCCTCTTAAGCAATACTTATTCATAAGCATCAACTGAATACGGCCCTATGTTTTTTTAAATTAAATATGTCTATTTAATTTTGTATTTGAGTATTAAAATTCTAAGTAATTTTTTATCTCTTATTTCAAATGTATGTGAAGTCCATTTTGAACTCTCAGTCATATTTTGTGATTAAGTGAAATTAATAATAATTACCCTCCAACTCGTTTTAATACAAAATTAAATTTGTATTTTGTACATACAAATTTAAACTATTTTCATCAAATGTAATCAATTATGTTAAAAATTTAATGTTTTCTCTTAGTTTAAATAATTTTTAGAAATATTCACACTTAATTGTTTTGTTTTCTTATAGATATATTGATGCTCCACTAAATGAATCTGAACAGCAGAAATTGGAAATAGATTGTGCTGACCGTAGTTTCTTTATGCAAGAATTATTATTATCTATGTTAACTCCAAATGGAACCATGCCAGCACCAATAACTGCCAAAAAAGACCAGTCGCCATTATCCACAGTAGCTCAACCTCAGGTATCGCAAGCATTAGCTAAGACGATAGTACCAGATACCAAACAACGACAGTCTAATAGTAGACCATCGCCACCTCCTCCACAGCAACCACAGCAATCGGCTAACCATGTAATTGGTGTTCCTCACAGATATTCTTCACCGCCCAGTCGCAATAGGCAAGCTGTAATGCAATCACAAATTCCACAGCCAGCAGCCAATGTTAGAAAACAACCTAAAGTCTCTGATCCATCACCATCGCATTGAACTAATTGGTAAAATCCGGTTGCTGCTTAACAAATTCAACATGAAATGTCTAGTCGTGTACTGGTGTTGTGTAACACTTAAAATTAAAGTAAAATATTTAGGATGATTTTTTTCTATAGTTTTCAGTTTAGTTATATGCATATAAAAACAAATATTAATGATAACTAATTCAAAACGGTATGTTATATATATATATATTTTTGTGTATTAAACAATAAGAAAAACAAAAAAAAAATATACTGGTCTTTAAATAATTTAACATTGATTTATCGCTTAAGTTATTAAACTAATCGCTTAAATTCATACGTCTGGAGTTTTAAACGCGGTATTTCTCTATTGTGATATTGGAATTAATAATTATATTTTGTTAAGAACAAAATTGAAAATAAAGTTGATAAACTTAGTAAATATATTGTAAATATGTCTAGCCATTGTTAATTATCTTTTGAAATTAAAAATTATATAAATATGTATTCAGTAATGTTTGTTCATTGTTTTTTTAAAAATAAATTTACTTCAACTTTTATATATTTTTGAGTACCTATATAATTACTTTTTTTTTAACAATTCTTAACAATGGACTTAATTTAATAACTTTTTTTTTACTATTTTTATGGGAAATAATAATATCAATGACTTGATACGTAGTTAAAACAAAACTTTTCATTTAGAAACATACCGAGTAGGAATAATAATATAATGTGTAAACATATTATAGAATCATAATTTAATTTTTATTTAATTCCTTCAATTAGGTTCTGGTAAATGTTATTGTTTGTTTTCATCACTTCTAGAATCTGTGTAAAAATTAGTTTTATCTTTTTTTTTTTTTTTTTAATTACTATTTTTTTGTTACGTTAACTATATATATAATTTTATTTTATTTTTGCTTTCCACACTTAATATAACTATTTATTTGTATTCAAACACTTAAAAACATTTTAACTAACATCATTCTATAATAAATTTCAAACATAAATAATATAATATGAGTTATGAATGTTTATTACAACAAGAAAAAGGGTTGATATATGTATTTAAAATATATCTTACAATGATAAAACAAAATATTTTATTTATATTTTTACTATCAAAAATGTAATTGTTTATTCCTTAATATACAATTTTAAGTTTAAGAAGCTTAAAACATATTTTTTTTAATCAGAACATTGTACGTCATAAGTAGGTATTTATCGCTACTAAATCAATATTGGAGAGTTAAGTATAATAATATATTCTTCAAATAAAACAAAACGTATTTTTTCGTAACAATATTTAAAATTTATTCATTTCTACTAATTGTATAATAAGTAACAACACACAAATATATATAAAAAATCTTTTTTAATACAACATTTTGAACATTAACCCGTATTATTTTCAAACAAATGTAGTAATAAAATATCTTAAGAGTTAAAAATTCGATGTTGAACATTTGATTCTTTTATACATATATATATATTATAATATTAGAGAAATTTCATAATGAGTTGAAAAATATAATACCGAAATTTATGTATATAATATGTGAACAATAGTGTCATAACATAATATAATTAAATTCATAACAATGTTAATCTAATTTCCACACTATAAGCAGTACAAATGTTTATAATATATAGTCCCGATCTTAATTAAAATTTCCCACGGTAGAAAAATGTTTAATAGCTAATAATTTCTTTATGATTCATGACTTTCTCCAGAGATCTCAAATTGTCCCACCAGTTTGTCAATTCGTTTTGTGCAATTAAATTAAACCACGGTGTAATTGGATGTCTCAAATTCTTTAAGAATTTATTCATTTTTGATTTGGGAATATACAGTGCAGTACTCACTTCGTCTGGATTGGGGTCCAAAGCAACGTCTTTGTGCAAAATAAATATATAATCAATTTCGTGTTCGCCCCAAGTCCCGTCTCCTTCGGACATGTACCTAAATAATAATACATCAAAGTCAGGCACCAATTTTTTATTTTCAACGTATTGATTTAGTTGTTATTACCTTATTCTGGTTATGTATTGCAAGTCTTTAGGTTGACACTGGCTTGAAGGAATTCCTAATTCAAACACAAGTCTGCGACAAGCGGCAGCTTTGGCACCTTCTAAGTCTTTGCGCTCATGTTCAATCTCGTACAGCGGATGACTGCAGCAAGAATTTGTATAATGATCGGGGAAAGTGATCTTGGTTGATGACCGTTGTTGTAATAGTAGTTCATCCTTGGTGTTGAATAAAAATACACTAAACGCGCGGTGTAACGGAAGTTTTCCGTCTACTAGCCTGTGGCAGTCTCGTTTACTGGCGAAGCCGCACTCTTGGTCATGTTGGTCGACAAGAATACAGCGTTCTTCGAGGGCAGCTTCTTGTACAGGGTTCAATGGTTTGGGTACGGTTGATAGAAATCGCCGTAAGGGTACTGTACCCAGCGACTTAAAAATCAACTTCATAATATATAACCTGTTGGTAAATACAAATAAATTAAAATATTATTTCAGTAAAGCGAAGTGCTTGTACTAGAAGTGTTAGTTCAACTGTGCTTAATGAACTTTACTAAGTATAAAGTAATGTTTCTACATTAGTAACATATTAAGAGAGAGACATTGTTTGCAAATGAATAATACACTGTTAATGATAAAAATAGAAGGTTTACATTCTAAGTATTTAGAACGCAATAGTGTAGACTCATTCAATGGACATAATTACTTTGAAATACAATTGTAATTGCTGACAATTATATCAAAGTAATTAACTATTGACATACACAATAAACATAATATGCTTATTATTTAAATTCACATGTAATTAACAATTTTTATTTATAGAACAGTAAAAATATACCCAAGGGCCAAGTTGAGTTATAAATTGTTTAAAAACTAAGCAAAATATTTTACCTAATCGACAGGCACGTGCTAAAATCCTTGTAACTCTATTTTTACAAATTGTTCGCGAAAAATAAAAAATATTTGATAGGTTATAACATTATTGAATACAACTGTGTTAGTCACAACATCTTATTTTGAGTTACAATTTTTTTTTTAACCCATGATAAAATTCAATCACTTCATAAGTAGTTTATAGTTTATAGTATGAATTGCGTCATTTTTACAAAATATTAAAACAATAAAAGTAAATATGTTGTTATTAATTAAATTATAATACAATATGATTATATAAATATCAAAACTAAAATTATGACATAAATAATTGATTAAAATACAATATTAAGCAATATTTAATTACTATATGTATGTTGTTATTTATTTTTCCTGGTAAGGAAAATTATCATAACAATTTTGTGCATAATTGTGAAGTATTTGTTTATTTAAGCAATTGGAGATGCTTGTATTTTTCAAGTTTTACCTTGATTTGTTGTTTGCACAAACGAAGTACCTAATTCAAATTATGATATACCTATTATTTGTGTTTGGAGCACCAGTTTCCATTCGTCATTTAAATGTATTTTGTGTTGAATAAATCACAGGCTTGGCTGTTTTTTTATACATCTAATATGACAAAGGTATGCAAGAGCAATTTAAATTTTTTTAGGACTATTTCTGATTAAAAATGTGTCATACACTAAAAGACAACACTGTCAGTTATTGTACTTATAAATTACTAACGATAAACAATATTATATTTTTTGTGCATTCTAGTTAAAATTGAATACATTCTAAAAAATTATAAAATAATTCGTACAGTTGTGAATTTAATGACATAATAGTATGAATAACAATAATTAGTGACTGAGATGAGCGTTTTATCATTTTCAGTTAATACAATTATAACATTAAGAGAAAAAAAATAATTAGTGCGCTGACATCCTTTTAATAACAAAACATCGTAACTTAAGTCGAGAGTTTTTTCCACATTCAAGGTAAGATGTATTGACACGAAGCTGCCGTCACATACTTGTTTGTTTAAATTAAACTAAAGCTAAAAGTAATATAACTAAACAAACCGTTAAAATTATAAAATAATGATATAAAATTTAAACACACAAATTGAATTGTTAAAGTAATAGTGGCATGCTACAGCTCACAAAATGTAGTACACATTTTATGGTAATCGAAAAGAAAAGTGGGTATAGATTATAAAAATAGATATTAGATACAATAGATTGATTTATTTTTTTTCTATGTAACTTGTTTTGAACACGTAAAATATGTAATCTTGATGTATTTAGTTATTTGTTGTACACATTATATTGTATACACTCTATTGTGTAGCGACACTGTGTTCCTATTGTACACTTTATAAATAAAAGTCTAGTTTTATTTTGCAAGAACTGAATTTAAATTCAAAACAATAGAAACAGTTTAACAAATTGAATAAACATGCTTAATTTGAACCAAAAAAATACTTATTTATATTATTTAAAAAGTTAACAGAGGGAAATCAGTTTCAAACAAAAGTCCAAAACTAACGAACCTATTTGAAATGACAAATCTAATTTATTATCCAATTTGATTTTTTCCCGTTAATATACCTGCCCGATAAAAATAAATAGGTACATTTAATTAGTTTAATGATATTTTATTTTAAATTACATTGATCTGATGGCTAAATAATTACTAAGCAACATCTAGTTTAATAAATTAAAAAGATCATTAAGATATGATAATTATTTTTGAAGAACTAGAATCATAATTTATTAGTAGGTACACCTATTAACTGTTATGTAATGATTGATCCTTGGTCTTAAATAACGTGTAGAAACATCGACATTAACGATTATGTTATTTAAATTACATCGAATATCTATTTGTGGAAATTAAATGTTTTTAATTATTTGATTAAGTTAGTTTTAAAACTGTATAATCAGACTAATAACTAGGTACCTATCTTGTATAACGAGAAAATGCATAACCACATTCTAATAGAAAATATTTTTACAAATGTCATTTAAATAATATGTAATATTATCATTTTACCCAGATATACCACACTGTACATGCTTAATTAAATATTTTTAATACCTACCTAAAGAATAGAAAACAAAAAAAAATGTTAGTTAAAAATCAATAAATAAATAAACAGGTAGTGATCACAAACGAGCAAAAAAGAGTCGTCTTCAAAACTTACTGTAATAGAGCCTACCGACGTGCTTGAAAATTCTAAGTATACCTATTGTAAGCCATAGCAAAAAAACAAAACACGAAACAACAGTGACATACCTCGAGCGAAAAAATCGAAATCCGTTTGAGAACTTATCGACTGGTATTGACTGCACACTCGGACGAACAACACTGGTCGTAGATCCGTATCATAATAGGCAGAAGACACCGTGCACACGTCTCAGACACTAACGAGAAAATTAGAAATCGTTTATCTTTTTGTTGGAATTTATACCTACGGGGCAATAGGTCAGTAGTGGCACCGTTCCATTACGATTTAATGTAAAATGTAAATAATAATTGTGATATTTCATTCAAAGCGTCCGCTTTTTTTATCAACAATCTGCTGCGTTATCAACTACGTGATACTACGATATCGTTCGACCAATCCGATGACTTCCCACTTAAATTTTAATTTTAGGTTAAGATAACAAACTTGAAATGTAAACAACGTACAAAATACAAATTACAAACATTTGTTTTGCCGAGAATCGTGTATTTGTGTTCATTGTGTTGACACTTGTTGTCTCTTCCCGTGTTTACTCTTGCTGCTCGGTACTTTACTGTCTGATAACATCTGGTCAGTTGTCCCCTTTCAGGTCTAGTCTATTCACACCAAAACTATAATAGTAAAAATACTTCTATAGGATTGACTGTTCTCCGTCGTAACAATATTCTTCACTTTTGAGTCTTGAGAACTAGCTATAAAATACATTTTTTATATTTACCGCTTTCACCTGCTAGGTACTATGTGGTGAGTTTAACTCGGTCATAACTTAAATCGCTTCGTGACAAATAAATATTCGATTTATTAGATCTCGATTAAATCATTAAATTATGATGAACAGCAACTATAAAGTTTGCCGTACCATTGCTGATGTGAAATCGGCGATTTCGTCTGAAAATAATTCATTTGATGTTCGCATCGAATCTGATTTGCCCGAATCGACGACAACTGAGAAATGTATTTTGGGAATTGACGAAGCTGGCCGTGGTCCTGTCCTGGGTATGTATAAAAAACAATACAAATATATCCGAGTAAGCAAGTAGGTTTGGTAGTAAATCAAGTTATTCGCTTCAAGTTTCAACAAATTAATGTCTTGACAATAGTCAATAGATGAAGTGATGAAATTATAGTTAATCGATGTATACTAGCTACCTGCAATAATTATTAGATGTTCTCAAAAGAAAATTATATGCCTAATTTACAATTTGAACTACTAATCTAGGTATAACTGTATTTTACACTGTACACCATATCTTGATCATTGTACATAATGTATTAGATAACTCGATCGGTTCATATGCGCTAATTTCTACATTCTCATAGGTTATAAATACATTCAAATATTCAATACATTACTCGTAAACACATATATTTGGTATTTTACTTTACAGTACGGGTCAAACCCATTACATAAGGTATCAGTAGGTACAGTAAAAAGCGTTTATAACAGGTCTTTAAAAATATTTCGTAACATTATTTCCCTGTTATTGCTAAAATATATGTGTTTATCTTACATATATTTTCAAGTAAAATATGATAATTTGTTGATAATATGTTAAATTTAATTAAATGCTAGGCAATGTTTTATAGTCATCTCTTGATGACTTCCTTGCAGTATAGTAGTATACCATCGATTGATATACTAGTACATTAGGTAGTACCTAAGCTAGTATTTATAATAAATGTATATGCCACTGTTATGAATTGTGTTTAATAATACATTTGTGTCTAGGTCCAATGGTATATGGTACATCTTACTGTTCAGTAGACAATCAATCCATACTAAAGACACTAGGATGTGCCGATTCTAAAGTCTTGTCTGAACAAGCCCGAGACGATATCTTTGATGGAATAACAAAACAATCTGAAATACTTGGATGGGCTGTACACATTATATCACCGACTACAATAAGCAATTGTAGCTTTAGGAGGTATTTATATGAGATGAAATCATTTATTTTATTTTGTATCAATGGTATGCATTTAATGTAGGCCATAATACTAGTGTTTTAATCACAATTATAGATGCAATAAAATATAAACCCTTTAGCGTAACTAATTTATGTTATATTTCCTATTATTAATATTGCTTAGGTAGTATACATTTGTGATTTAAATTCATCAACATTTTTATATTATTTTCAATAGGCAAAAGTGTTCTTTGAATGAAATTTCACATAATGCTGCCATTGGTTTAATACAACGAGTATTGGATAGAGGAGTAAATATTTGTGAAGTATTTGTAGATACTGTTGGACCACCCGAAAAGTACCAAGTAAGAATAATAGTAGTTTTAGCATGCATGAATACTAAAAAGTACTTTAATACATAAATGTGTCTCTTTTTAAATTGTTTTTTTGTTTGTCTTACATGCATACAATACATCTTAAATATTATATTTATTATATGCTTGCAAATGATAAAAACACTAGGAACCAAAATTCCGCAATAGCTTAAAGCAAAAAAAAAATAATATATAAATACACTATAATATGAAATATGAATGAATATTATCTAGTACATTTCAAATGTTGGCTTGGACATTTTATCTAAAATTTTAAAAATTTACCATAATAGTTCATATTTTGTTTAACACCACTTCTGATGTTAGCTGAAATAACACAAACTCAAATGTGGTCTGACAAATTTTCTGGTGGAATTTCAAACTTCAACTCTTCTTTTCTAAGTAAATTACTATTATTTATGACAGATTAGTTGAATAAAAGTATAAATTATAATAATTTTACACTTTTAATGAATATTATTGAAGTAAATATTGTATTTTAGGAATTACATTTAATAAATTAATATAAAATATTATCGGTTATATTAAAATGTAGAATGTGTTAATATATTTTATTTTTATTATTGCTAATGATTGGGGAATATTTATGAATAAAATCATTTGAATATATTTATATTGAGTAAATGATTTATTGTTACTTGAATGTGAATATTATTATGTATAAAACCTAAAGTATAAACTTTTCTAGTATTTTATGGTTTACATTTTAAAATCTCATAATATCCCATGTATTATGGTTAAATGTGTTATGGTTTATTTTTCATTTTTCAACTCATGTTATAAATTCATAATTTGTAATTTATTGTATTTTGTTTGTAATTTTTAGGAAAAATTATTATCAATATTCCCTCAACTAAAAATCACAGTGTCTAAAAAAGCTGATTCTTTGTTTCCAATTGTAAGTGCTGCTAGTATTTGCGCTAAAGTAACTCGTGACGCTGCGTTAAAAAATTGGAAATTTATTGAAAGGCCTGGAGAAGATATTGATTCGAATTGGGGAAGCGGATACCCAAATGGTAATACAAAATTATTATAATTTCTAATAGTTGTTTTGTTTATTAGTTTAGAATATAAAAACAAAATGTTTCATTTAATATATTTTTATTATTTAGATCCTGTAACAAAAGAATATTTAAAAAAAAACATAGATCCGGTGTTTGGATTTCCTAGTATTGTACGATTTTCTTGGTCTACAGCAGAATTGGTACTAAAAAACAATGCAGCACAAGTAGACTGGTAAGTAGATGCTATTGCATCATGATATTGTGAAGTGTTTAATATATTATATTATTATATAATTGGTGTTTGGATTATATAACAATAAACTTAAAATTGAAACAAATTGATAAGTTTTTAAAAAAAAATTTAGGTCTGATGAAGAAGAGGATGAAGACAAAAAATCAGTACCTATAACTTCATTTTTTGGTCAAAATAGTAAACAAGTTCAACAAAAAACACCTTTTTTTGATGATAGAGGTTTAATAGTTACAACTAAATTTTAGTAAAAGAAAAATCTTTGATTTATATTTGTATGTTTCATCTTAATCATTATAATAGCTATTAATATAACTTTTTTCAACTCAAATAATGTTTACAATATTAAACTACGTTTTAAATTCATAATTCAGTAGTAATATATTATGATATGTAAATTAAAATTAAGTTTTACATTGTTGAATACTATTTTATAAATAAATTAAAATTAAGTAAGGAATCTTTATTAAATCACAATAATTATTAAATATAGACTATACCCTGTCCCACGAGAGAACATGCCGGTTCTGTGCATCATCCCACGTCACCCTGCTATCGCATCTGGTTCCCCAATAGCAGGATGTCGCGTAGGGACGCTCAGAAAACTCGATTTTGGTTGGGCCGCGGCATGATCTCTTCTGGGACAGAGGATGGTGATATATTCCCTGTATTTTATGTTCAAAATACAGCAGTATTCTTTCCTTTTCCATTATGTGTTTTTAACAAATAAGTTATTACATATTTTTTTGTTTTGTGAAGACTTCTCGACTGTAAAAAGCTTATTATTAAGAACTCAGATTTATAGAATTTAAATTTAACAAAGATAGAAAAAGTTTTTTGAAATATCTTATTAGGTTTTTAAGAAAATTACCATGGTTTTGAACTTTAGGCAAGCTCTTACTTTTAACTATATTGATTGCTTAATGGTCAGAATCTACCTAACTTGTTACTAATAAACTTATTTTAGTTGTATGTTATACAATATGAAATATTGTTTATTTAAAAATAAGAATAAGTACTTTTACATAGTTTCTAGTTTTTGAGTTTTAGAAAATCCAATGGAAATACCAGCGGTAACTGACTAATGCTGGTTGAAGAACCTTTAAAGGTTATCTGAAGTTTAAAGTTTAATACAATTTAGAACAAAATATGATCACAATATTATAATGTCTATGGTTAATATTTAATACATGTAAATAATGACACCGAATACACAATAATGGCTAACATTGGTCACACTTTTTTTTTAAGATTAATGTTGGTAAGTATTAGGACACTAGGTAGTATACCTGTGGCATGTACTATTAAGTTGCGGTTGAAAATTGATAGAGTACTTGTTATTGGAACTAAAAATTTTAGTTAATTTAAATTCAACACTTCATAAGACTTCTAGATCAATTATTTGTAGAAATAAAAAATGTATACCAAGATAAGAAAATATCGATTACGACCATTGATATTATTCCAGAAAAAAATTAAGAAAAGTATTTAAAGTAGTGTTCCATAATTTTAAATTTATTGTTTTAATTAAATGTTCAAAAAACACAATTTTAGGCTAATTTTGTACACATAATTTTTATCTTTCATGCATGTTCCAACATTTTAGTGCATATATTTATGCATATTTAAGATTTTTTAGAGCTTGGTTGGTTTTTAATGCACATAAATCCGCTCTCTACTTATCAGGTTAAGTTAAGAAATACTTTGAGGTAGAGTAAATAGGTACCAATTTAATCCTATGGGGTGGAATTTTTGGTTTAGTATGATAAACCTTGAATTAAATTTTCAATACTTGAGTACAAAAGTTAAACATTTTATTAGTTTTTAACTTCAAAATATTTAAATTTTCCTGTGAATGTTGTCAAAATTTCATGTTCAAAAAAAAAAGCCTATGTATCTTTAATATTGCTATTATAACAACTTATGAGAAACCTTTTATTTAAACATTTTCAAGCTTTTAGTCCCGCCGAAAAAATGTCTATAATTTACCTCGATTATTCGTTTTTGAAGTACAACAAAATAATGAAATCTCATCGCATGAGAAATTTAGTTAACGGGTGAATATCCTGTCAAAAAAATTGCTCATGAAAAATGTATTTGACTTCTGGTTAACTTTTTAATTTGTTGAAGGTTGATCAACTTATGAAAAATCTTATATTAAATTTTCAAATCTAAGATATAGAATGAACATTTTTTACGAATTTCTAACAACAAAATAATTTTCAAATATTCGTGATTTTGCCAATTTTCACATAGGTACTTCCAAAAGTGTATGTCCATCTAACTTTCAAGCTCAGATTTTTTAAAAATAATAACAATTTTAAAAGATATGCATAAAAGTACAAATACCAGTAATGACTATACAATATACATCAATATTTTTGTTCATATCATTTAAAAAACAGAGGTAGTATGACAATGAGATGATTTGTTTTAAATTATTGGTAATAGATGTACGATACGATCAATAATCATTACAACATCGCATACGTTGTGTTTTATGTTTCTTGGACGATGTATATTTTTAATAATAAAAATATAATTCATATTTTATTGAAGTAGGTCAATGATATTTAATTTCTATTGCTTAAATTGTTTTTATCAGTTTTTAGTTTATAGTCCCATAATACAGGGTGATACACATAACATGCCAACATCAGGCACTATATCATTAACTAAAAAATAATATTCTGTTTTGGAATATGAAAATTAAACTTTAGGTATGTTGTCATTCAAAAAAGTGCAAAACCTAAAAAATGATAAAAATAAATGCTTTCTAACGACTCGAAAGTCGAAACCATATAATGTAAAATTCTTTTCAAAAACAGATATTTTTCGAAATTATGAGTGGCTTATGATAAAATAATCACCTGGTATGTAACATGTACATGTACCTATGACCTACATATTACAGATATTATGTCGGTTAGCAGCAATTCTATATTTTGCATTAAATATTATATCGTTTAACATCACTTATCAATGTTTTTCTTTGATGAATGACTATTAATATATAGAACTACCTATTCGCTTAATAAAATATTTTATTTATTTTTTTTTTTTACTAATGTGTTTTTTAATTACCCATCCATTAATATAATGTACCTACCTTTTACTTTTATTATTTAAATTTTAATTACGCAATGCGTAAGCCATTATCATATGATGTATTATTGCATTTATTTTTGCGTATACCCGTAATGTTCATTGAAAATGATTGCAATATTTATTTTTTATCTTTCACGGGTAGGTACAAGGCTGGATTAAGAACATATTGGGCCCCAGGGCCCAAAATTTCATGTGGGCCCTTTTGACAAGACTGAAAATGTCCGTAAACAGCTCAAAAAGAGTCAAAATATTTTCAAAATTGTATGGTGTATAGGAAATGCTAATATAAGTATTCAGTGAAATTTTCATGCGTATCTACAGTTTTTGAATTACAACAAAATAAGGAAATCGCTACATGAGAAATCGAGTGAATATCCAATGTTGCAAAAGTTTGAATTCAAACGCTCATAAATTAATTGACTTTCTTATAGACATTTTTTTTTGATAAAGGTAGATAAACTTATAAGGAATCTTGTATTACTTTTAAAACCTTGATTTAAAAGAAAATTTTTACGAATTCATAACACAAAATAATTTGATAATTTTCGTGATTTTTCCATATTTTGTCAATTTTTGAACTTAAAATGCTTATAAAAAAAAAAAAACTGTGACTAAGGATGTTTAATATTGTTCAAATTCCAGTGTAACAATGTAGTAGGAGCCTTGATTTAATTTTCAACTTTTTTAACCATAAATAAAATGTTATTGAGATTTTTAGAAAAAGAAACTAAAAAAAAAGGTTAAATGAAAATGTGCCTTAACAGTTTAAAATAAATCAAAACATTTTGAAAAATGTTATGTGTACCTAAAGAAATGCTAATATAAACATTCAGTCAACATTTCATGTAGGGGAGACTGGCTTAATATGACATACCAATTTTTAATTTTAAAAAAATGAAGGAAATAATGTTAGTTAACACATGAAACTTGAGCAACATATTAGTACTTATATAATACACATATTTCTGAAGTCTAATTGTACATTTAATATAAACAAATAATCTTAATTCACTTTTTTTTAAATGTACCTACTATGTCATTTTACCCGGAGTGTCGGGTAAAATGGCATACACCATATTTCTATAAGCAACCATTGTATACTGGCCAATAGAAATAAATTATAAAATTTTTAGAATTTAATAGTTTAATGAATTTTTTTTATTATAAATAGCAAAATTTTAGAAATATATTTAACATAATTAATATAATAATATAAATATGAAATTAATATAATAATAAGCACGGCTATGTCATTTTTCCTGATATAATACAAGTTTTTTTCAAAGTTTTTATGGCAAAAGTATTATAATAAGCTTATTTATAAAACAATTGTAGTATAGCTTGCCTTTTTATGTTCAACTTCGAATAAAAAAAATTGAAGGAACATAAGGTTTAATATTTTAAAATTAATTTTAAAAAATGTTGATAAGACAAAAAACACATTTTCGTTATCAAATTCTCTGATAAGGTCAAAACCGGTGATCGCTGTATACAATTGTATGTAGAAGGTTCATAGACATATATTGTTTTATATGTCTATGATTTAGCAGTAGTTATCTTATCTAAATACATAGAACCGGCAATGATTGGAAAAAATAAAGTTAATTTCCACTTGAATAAAATGTTATTATACCTATCTATATGTTTAATATCGAGCCCTATTAGGTAAAAAAGAGTAAGCGACATTTTCATTTTTTTTACAGGAACTAAAAAAAACACTTTTAAAATCGAATTATCTAATGGATTTTCATGAAAATCAGATGTGTAGTTATAAAAGAATTATTTCGAAGATACAATTACAGAATTAAAATGATGTTTTTAATATTGTGTAACTCGCTTACAATAAAATAAATGTTCGAATATAGCTCAACGCAGGGCCTAAAATTGTGTGCAGTAGCACACACTATGTGCAGTAGGCAGTAGCTAATATTAAATGTGCAGTAGCAAATTTAAAAGTGTGCAGTACTCATTTTTGGTTTTATACATTTTTATTTGAGTAATATTCAATATTGATTATTGAAAATTGGTAATTAGCATAATATTGTATTCGTTTAAAATCCTTAACACTAAAAATAATACCTACTACATCATATTCTGGGCGGCTTATAATATAATAATTATATTAACCTAAGCTATTTCG